CACCTTGGTGTCGATCTGCACTTCTACAATGTAAATAATAAAATTAATTGAATTTGATTGATCTAATATATCAATTACACTTTAATATATTTATGTACAACTAATATGATCAATTTATAATATTAAGAGATTATTAAATATATTTCAAACTTAAATACAACAATTAAGAATTCAATTCTTATTATAATCAAAATATCAAAGTTTAAATTTTATTAAAAAAGTGATATCAAAATTATTAAAGCGCTAAAAGATAATTTTATTTATTTATAAATATATATTTAATAATATTGCAAATTTAATATTTAAAAACATAATACAAATATAATAAAAATAAATTTTACTTTCTATTACTCATAGCTGCACTAACAACTTCATCAATATTATAATCAGTTTCATCCTCTACATCTATATTATGATGTGCTTCATTTGTTTGCGTTTGTTCTTTTAAAAAGATATTAAAATCTATCATTTCTTTAACTTCTAAATTTTCACAATCATATTGTCTAAGTTTATCCAAGTCATCTTCATCAGAAATATAATCCATATCAAGTTCTTCGTTAATAAACATGTCATCATCGTATTCAATTGAATTTGAATAATTTTCCATTATTTGCTCAAATTCTAATTCTGAAACACTATTAGCGATATAATTTAGTTCATTTTGAGCATTAGTCATATAATAAGTATGTAATTTCGCAATATTCGATACTTTATCTACAGTTAATCTATAAGAATAATATATAAATTAACTATTAAAAAATATATATTTATTACCAATGTAAACCAAACCCATTAGTTTGAAATTTAGTAAATTCCCAAAGGTATTTATTAGATTCAACAATTATGTTGTAACTAAACCCAAAATTGTGTATTAGTAACTAGCGGGTTTGGGTCAAAACCCCAAAACTCAAAATCCTGAATACCAAAATCCCTATATAACATTTAAAGATTATTAATCACATTAACAATCATTGTTAGACTTTGAATTTTTAATTGTCACATCGCGTGATGTCATCATTATGATCTGTCGAGATTTTGAGTTTTGGGATTTTGACTCAAACCCGTAACTAGTGAATCGTAT